ATGCATTCGAAATGCAGCGGACGAAGCCCTCCGACACGATGCATTCCAAGTGCAGCGGCGAGGTCTCCCGACACGCTGCTTTCGAAATGCAGCGGACGAAGCCCTTCCACACGATGCATTCGAAGTGCAGCGGACAAAGCCCCCCGACACGATGCATTCGAAATGCAGCGAACGAGGCCCCCCGATATGCTACTTTCGAAATGCAGCGGACGAAGCCCTCCGACATAATGCACTCGAAGTGCAGAGGACGAGGTCCCCGACACGATGCATTCGAAATGCAGTAAACGAGGCCCTCCCATATGCTACTTTCGAAATGCAGCGGACGAAGCCCTCCGACATAATGCACTCGAAGTGCAGAGGACGAGGTCCCCGACACGATGCATTCGAAATGCAGCGGACGAAGCCCCCCGACACGGTGCACCCAAAGTGCAGCGGACGAGGTCCCCGTCAAGGCGACTCAAAGTGCGAGGCCGGTTGCAACCAGAAGTCCCGCCGAGGTTTCTTTCAAAAGAGGTCGGAAAATCTCACCGAGCCAACCATGGCGGAAACGCAACAGGCTGAGCAACCCTGATGCGGCCGGAAGGAGCTGCATCTCCGGATGACAAAGAACGGGAGAGAAGCGCGGAAAACCGTCGTTTGAGGTCGACGGATACCTCGTCACGACGTGGCCGATCGGGAGGCAAGGATGAAATCGATTAAGAAAACGTGGCCGACGGTTATCGTCGCGTGCAGCCGGGGGGTTATGTCGCGTGATGCCACTGGTGCAATTGGACTCAAGGGTTATAGAATCTTATCGACCGGTCGGGACAATGGATGTTCGTCGAGGAGGTCGTAACCTCGGGCCAAGGTGCATCCCTCCCGCGTATCTTTAGCAAAAGAGGTTATCGGGCACTCCCGAAAACCTGACCTTTCCCAAGTTTTTACGGCGGATCGCCTCTTAAACCCTTGCCGCACTTCGACGAGTCCGACTCCTGACAGATATCTCTTATCAAATGGTTAACGATTCATAATTTCGGACTGACGGGAACATCAAGTCCTCTTGGGATCCCAATTTGGGACCGAAAGTGAACAGGACTAGGACTCGTGATGTTTCCGCACCTGCATTAGCGAGATCCTGCCGGATGCATATCGACTTTCTCAGGCGGATGGAAGAGGCGGGATATATCAAAGCGGCCGACCAATGAGTGAGCGCTTTTAACGCGGAGATGCATTTTCATACAGCGGAAAAGCGAGGAAAAGCGTCGAGAGGAGTACGATACGTTTTTCGCATCTCCTGTCAGGGCCGTTCTTCTGGCGCGCCCTTTCCAAGGGATGAAAAAGGGGTATCGCCTCCCCACTGCCCCGATAAAAAAGAAGATATCCCTCGAGCAAAAATACCCATCCCTTCGAATAATACCCTAGAAACATATCATCGATCCAAAGAACGATCACTTCACTAAAAAAAACTGAAATAAATTCTGAACATCCCGAGGAAACGTTGCGTCCACCTTATTCGCAGTTCATTTCAGCCATGTGATTATTTTTTTAATTATATAATTAATATCTCCCTGGTGCGATCGAGTCTTTGTTCCTCGCGGTGTCTTATCTCTCGCCCTAAGATCTGATCGAACAATTTGCAAATTGGAAATTCAGGCTGGAATAATTAATTATAATCGATCGAACGCCCGGGGAGGAGGAGAAGCTTGGGAAACTGGTCCGTGACTTCGGCGTGCGGGGAAAACGTTGCGGTAGGTCCGGGTCGCGGAAGTTGGGACCTCGCGTGGCTCGTTTCGAACTTCATCGGGGACACGTTGGGTTCGCGCCGCAGGGCTCGGACAAGTTCCTGGACGTTCCACCGCCGGTGGTGCCCGGAACCGTCCCGAACCACTTACGCTCCGTAAACTCCGAGTTTTCGAACGACATCTTGTCCGAGGCGAGTTCCGGTCGCTTCTTCGAATTCCCCGGAAACTTCCTACCGGCGGGTACTAAATTATTACCCAGACGCGATAGAAATTTATCACCGCCCGATGGAGCCGATAAATGCAAAATTCGAAATCGACGACCACCCTCTGGACAGAAAATAAAAAAAGGGGGGAAGGAAAAATAAAATTGCTTGACAAAGAGACACACACCCCGCGATCAAACACGCCGAGAGGAACGTCAAATCGAGGAAAGAAAAATCTAAATCGGCAACAAAATAATCCTTCCTTGCAATAGTGATCCCTCTATATAAGTGAGCTTTTTTAAATTCTCATAAAAAAAAAAAAAAATGTGATTTTGCGTACAAGACCTTCCTAAGGGCCCTTACATTTACGGGGTGAAATTTGAAACGCCTTAAATCGCAACATCGCCGCGTTAAATATTTTCTTCCTACGAATGTTTATCTCGCCTATCGCAATTTATTCAGGAGAATTTTCCCAGCACACGGTTCACGGCCTCCCCGGCAAAAGAAATTATGCAAATGCGGATCGTCGCGAGAGGCGATACGTCAGGCTGTTTAAGGTCGTCGAGAAGGGTGGGGGGATAAACGTGGGAATATGCAAATGCACCTTGCACCGGGGTCCGGAGTGCATCGCGGGGATTTTCATTGGTCGGTTGCCAAGACCCCTGGAGCACCGTGTACACACAACCCCAGCCTTAAACATTCCCGATAGGTTGCATTAAGTTAATGGAACCTCTTGCAGGCGTATCAACCCCGGGGCCGGCAACCCCCTTAAACTCCCCTTCAATTTTTACGTCCGTCTAGCACGAGACACGCGAGACGAACTCGCCACTAAAGGAATTGCTTCGCTCGGTGGCTTTTCGCCTTTCTTCCTGGGGGACAGGGGATGCCTCCAGGATTTTACGGACGAGGGAAATCGGGGATTACGGGGGCGTAAAAAATTCACGGGGTCCGAAATCGCCTGAACGACAAGTCAGGGAAAAAAGGGCTTGCCATGGAACGCGTTAACGAGAGGCGTCGTCCAGGCTTCCAGGGAAGAGCTTGCAAAAGTCCGACCTCCCCTTTTCCCATTTTCTTCCCTCATCGAGAGCTTTTCCGCGAGTCGCACTCCAGAGTCACGGCGGAAGCTTTGGAGGCTTATCGATCGACGCGGCGTCCGCGGTTCTTGCAAGACAGACGGGGATGGTCCTCTCCCCTGTCTGGCCTCCCCGGCGTCGGGAAGTAATCCTTAATCCTTCCCAAAAGAAGCTAGGACCTCCCCTTCCGAGTCCGTCGATGGACCGGAAGACGTTTCTCCTCGCAGGGGCATTCGAAATCGCGACTACAACTCGGGCCTACCTTAAGGTGATGTGAAAGTGGCGTCAAGAGGTTTTGTTTATATCACTTTTCTCCCAACTCGGTTTACCGAATAGTTTGAAACGTTACAACGTGAACAGGGAAACTATAAGGAAGGTCCTGAAACTCATGAAATTTCAATTCTTCTCAAATTTATTTATAGGTATTCTAAAAATTGTTTATGAAAAATGAAATTTCACGGGTTTCAGGACATACTTTAAGGTCTCCATATTCATGTTTTAAAGTATGGAACAATTTGAAACACCCAGTTCTATGAAAAGTTTTATGAACGATTGAGCTTTCGGATGCCACTTTCACATCCCCTTAAGGTGATACCAAAGGATATATATATCACCTTAAGGCGACACCATATCACCTTAAGGCGACCTGAAACGAGCATTCGAAAGTCTCAATCGTTTAAAACCTTCCCACGCAACCCACAAAGACCCTAAGGAAGGTCCCGACACCGACGAAATTTCAATTATTTAAATCTTTCCTTATAAACAATTTCTTAATTTTGTATTAGAAAAAAAAAAAAAAAAAAAGAAGAAATTGATTTCTCGGTCTATCGACTGACCCGACAGAGGGAGGTGTCGAGTCCTGCGGGTTTGTCCGTAATATCGCATTAGGCAGCCGGATCGGAACGAGCGTTTACAAGGCTTCGGTTTAACCAACGGGGAAACCCGATAACCTTGCCCCGATGTAACCCGAGACGTCGGGGTCTGGCAGTCCGGACTTAGTAAATCGGACTTTTCGTTTACACGCCCCCAAATATCTCTATCCTCGCTTTTCGAAATCCTCCTTGTTAATGCAGTTTCCACCGACCTCCGTTGACATTCTTCCGACACCCGTCGACCTATTAATTAGGACATCGGCTTCGTGCCCGATAACACGGATAGGTGTTCCTAACCGAGACCTCCCTCGACGAGTGGTCCCCGTTAAGGAGTCTCCTTTCGGACCGAGGTCCTTATCAGCGGTTTAACGGAGCCGATTACAATGTCAACCCCTTCGCTGCACCGAGCCTATCTCACGTAGGATCGGCTCTACGGCGATTAATCTCAAACCGTGATCGAGAAGCTGCCCCAATGCGAGAGACTTATCAGTAATTGGTCAAACTCGCCGGAAGAGTTTTCTCTCTCTCAAAAAAAAAAAAAATCGACTCTGCTGCTTAAGGGGGTGTGAAAGTGGCATCTTAAGGGTCAATCATTCATGAAACTTTCCCCCCAATTGGATATAGAATGGCGGACATGAATGCATGGCCTGCAGATACGGCATCGCCTGTGCAGGATGGGAGGGCATCGATGTCTCCCAGTGTACCGATTTCTTTTCAAAATTTACCACACGGATAAGGAGACCCCAAGGTAGGTCCTGAAACGCGGGAAATTTCATTTATATATATATATTCTTGAAATTGCATTAACTTGCATCAAAATTCTTGAAATAGCTATAAACTTTACTTCACGTTGTTACTTGACAATACAGTACAAGTTACTTTAAAATTGAAATTTCATGGCTTTCGGGACATTCCTTGTATTCGCACTGTCAAGTTCGAGAGGACTCGGTACATCCAGTCCGTGGCAATGTTACACAAACGATACCTCCTCGACGCCACTATCACATCGCCTTAATCGACCCCTGTAATCGGACATCCGAGAGGGCGGCCATGTTGGATTTTCCGAGGGCACCGACGGAGGGCTTAATTAACGATTAACCGGGCTCTAAAAGTAGTACCCAGGGTGCTTACCTTGCGTGCATCCGTTGAGCTGAGTTGCGGTGGGGATCCCGGGGTAGAGGGGAGAGGGGTGAGGCGAGGGCTGAGAATTCGGCGTCCCGGCGCAGATCGAGTGGGGGTTGGCGGACGTCGGCGTCGGGGTGGCCGAAGAGGGTTGCTGGGCCTGCTGGGACTGCTGGGGCTGTCCCCCTGGCGTGGGGGTGGCCGCAGGAGTGCCACCTTGCACCCCTCCGACCCCACCTGGGGTCGACTGGGGTTGCTGCAGCTGCAGTTGCTGAGGCGGGAGCTGAGGAGTTCCTGGCTGCTGGGCGACCCCCGTGTCTCCTCTGGGACCTGATAAGAAAAAATGAAAACAATTAATATAAAAAAAAAAAACAACTAATGCCAAGCCTGATTTCACCGATCAACGCGTAATGTCATCTTCATTCCGAGGCTTGGTACCTGTCCTAAAGGGGTAGTTTTATTAAACCGTCGGTGTAAACGACGGTGTACCGAGGTGTGAAAGTGGCATCCGAAAGCTCAATCGTTCATAAAACTTTCCATAGAACTGGGTGTCTCAAATCGCTTCATACTTTAAAACGTGAATATGGAGGCCCTAAGGCAGGTCCTGAAACTCGTAAAATTTAATTTTTTATAAACTATTTTTAAAATACCTATAAACAAAATTTGAAAAAAATTGAAATTTCATGAGTTTCAGGACCTTCCTTGTAGTTTCCCTATTCACGTAGTAAAGTTTCAAACCATTCGGTAAATTGAGTTGGGAGAAATGTTTTATAAACAAGACCTCCTCGACGCCGCTTTCGCGTCACCTTAATTTCGTTTCTGCCTCAGACTGGAATCCAGGTTCACAGAGCCGGACAAATCGCCGGGTAATCGATTAGAAGACGAGGCAGTGCCTCGAGCGAGTGACCTCGCCTCGCTTAGGAATGTCTCGTTTGTACAGTCGGTACCACTTCACGACGACAAAGACCAAGTGACGTCGGCATCTCTCGAGGGACCCGTTACCGCGACGGACTTCGACCCGTTTTCATGTGACACTAATTAAGATAACGACACCAACGCGCCCAGGCTTTGCTCCAGTTATTCCTGACGTCTACTCCTAGTGCGTAAACCCACCCAAGCCGATCTCTCTCGGTCCCCTCTATCGGCGGATTTTCCCACGAGAAAGTGGCCTCTCCTAAATCCCCCAAAAAACCAAAAAAAAAAAAAAAAACATCCAAACCTCCTCGGGAATTCTACCGGGAAATCCGTTCCGCTTTTATGGATTCGTGATTTCTGGGGCCCTAATTGACTGCAGAGGGACCCCCTGCGCCATCTGTGATTTCCAGGCCAATTAAATTTTCACTCCGAGACCTCGTATTCCCATCCTTTTAGCATAGAAGCGCATACAACACTTTTCTTGCCTTTATCACGTTCAAATGCGAGTCTATCGATTACCAGAGTGTTATAAATTGTCGTAAAATTGTCCTGACCCTTTCAATTCTCATATCAGAGCCTTCGATAATTGTACATTGATCGAAATATGAGAGCTCGACGCCATTTTGGTTCTGGTGTGAGCTGAGTAAAAAAATTTTTTCCAAAATTCCAAATATTGAATCTGTCAGGACAATTCTTAGATGATCAGGAGTCAAAGTTTCGGACAGTTTGGTCTAATATCCTTAAAAAAAAAGTGTTGTATTCAAATCGACCGATTCGAAGGGGGTTTCACTTCACCTTAATTACTCAAAATCTAGGAGTTACGCAAGAGTAAAATGGCCGGGAGGTCTGGGATTTTCCTCGGTTACCGTCCGTGCCGGAAATTGAATCCTCGTCTGCCGCGGCGATAACGATAATGACAAGTCTAACGCAATTACGAAAAGGCGAGAGGTCTGTCCGTCTGTCTCGTTTCTCCCATTTCCGCCTACCGTTCCCCCCTCCCGGACGGATTTCCACCGTGGAAACGCGCCCTCCACCCTTTCCTGGGCCGGGCGAGAAAAACTGCGCGTCGTAATCTTGACCTAACCCAACCTAACCTAACCTACCCTAACCGTCAGAAAAATGGCGCACCATTCTCTGAAGCATAACCGACCGAGAGGAAATCGACCGGCTTCCTTTCTCTCGCGCCTTTTTACAAGGAACTAATGTACCCAGTTATCACCGCGGTTATCATGATTTTCCATTTTCTCAGTTCCCCGAGCCATAGCGAACGATCTTACCCCGAAGAAATCCATCATCGTTATCACTTACCATTTTCCGGAAGAGACGACGTAGGGCTGTCGGGCAGGAGAATCCCTTTCTGGACCAGCTCGTCCCGATTGGCGCGTACTGAGATTTTCCTTTCGAGTGCTGCGCAAATGAACGATTGATAAGATACAAAAGGTGGAGTTATTAATCGCAGCCGCGCCTAGGCGAGCGTTTACACCGGTGGTTTCCCTTCCGGGCGGGTTTTTGAGGCATAAAACGTGTACTTACACCTAGAGGCGGCCTCGAACTTGTCCGATTTCTTTTTCCGCTTCCATTTCCACGGCTTGAAGAGTCTGCCCAGGGCGGAAAACTTGCTTTTCCTCTCGAGGGGCGGCGTCCTCGCGCCCGAGCCGAGACTGTTAGTTCGCAGGGCCGCTCCATTTTGTTTCTTGGCTGAAACAATCGAAGAAAAATCGGCCGATTAACGTGTGGAAGGAGGAAAGAGAGCTTTCTTTAGAAAATACAGGGAAATTCGGAAAAGCTTTCCCGGTGGTTCAGGGGGGGGGGGAGGGGTAAAACAGGAGGCCGGAGATGTACCGACAGAAGGGGGACCCGTGTACCGACGAGGGGTATGCTTCTCAGGATTTATTAATCCCTGGGAAGATCAACGGGGCTGTCAGGTTTCTACGTTACCCGCCCTTTACCGACTGCTCGTCGATCACTACCCCGTTATCAGTGGTGCCGAAATGGAACCTCCAAGACGGCTCCACGTCGATAAGAACGCCGGATACTGGGGGACCGAAACCACCCTTTTTACGGGCGTTTACATCCCTGGGATCCTTTAGGGACTCAAATTGCTCCGGTAATCCGAGCCGGGTAATGGGGTAGTTCGAGAGCTGGGACGACGCGTCCCTGGGTACATTGTTGGTTAAGAGGCATTCTGGCAAGCCTGGTTAGACGTTAACGCGCCGTTAAGCCTCTCGTTAAGGGTGGCTAATGGAGACTGGGTCCCCCAAAGTCCGATCCCGAAGGGTGAGCTCGAAGGACCTTGGTTATCGGACCTGGATCCGAAAATTCCGAGAGATGGAATTATCTCGCAAAACGAAAAAAAAATTATCCCCCGATAAAAAATTCCTCGGAAGTCTCAGGATCCTTGCCCTTGTAGGGGTGGAAAATTTCGGGAGGTAGAATTATCACGCGAAAAAAAAAAATATTATCCCCTTATAAAAAATTCCTCAGACCCCTCAGGATCCTTGCCCTTGTAGGGGTAGAAAATTTCAGGAGATAGAATTATCCCGCAGAAAAGAAAATTATCCCCCGATAAAAAATTCCTCAGACCCCTCAGGATCCTTGCCCTTGTAGGGGTAGAATATTTCGTAAATAGAATTATCCCACGAAAAAAAAATTATCCCCCGATAAAAAATTCCTCGGAGCTCCCATGATCCTTGCCCTTGTAGGGGTAGAAAATTTTGGGAAATAGAATTATCTTGCGAAAAAAAAAAATTATTCCCCAATAAAAAATTCCTTAGAGCTCCCAGGATCCTTGCCCTTGTAGGGGTAGAAAATTACGAGAAATGGAATTGTCATCTCGCGAGGGAAGAAATGAAAAAAAGAAGAAAAATCATCCCGCGATAGGAAGAACGTCTCAAAGAAGTCCGCGGATGTCGCGACCTCGCCTCGGCCGATTACATCGCGAGATTACGTTCAAGGGTTCCTTATTGCGAGTTCCACGACCCCTCGGCAAAGATTCCGCTCGAGATGTCTGGGAAGCCGCGAAATGGGGACCGCCCGGCGGCTTTATTTCGCCCACTCGTTATCGTACATCGATAACGATTAATATCGCCGGGGCTCTAAGTACTTCCTCCCCATCGGCCGGTCATACTTTCTTCTCCAAAATCTCGCGACAAAGGAAACGAGATACTCCGATCGCGATGGGTCGATTCTTGATCTATGGATACCACTCGAAGATTCATCCCGACAGATTGGAAGCTGGAGTGGAGAAGTCGAAGATGAATCATTTAATCGAAGAGGTCGCGATCGATGGGAGTCCTGGATTCGGACTGACTTCTGAATTAAAAGCGAGTGCAGCCTCGAGCTGCAGGGGTCGCAACCCCAGAGGGGTGGCGGTTTGACAACCGACTGGTTGACAACCGGCGGCCAGGTAATTGGAGACGTAAAACAAAGTGCCATCGCCATGGCAACTCCCTAAGCATCCCTTGGTCGAGCCCTGCGCAGAGGACGTCGCCGTCGGATTCGCGTCCTGGCTGCGCTCCCACTTTCGGATTATTCCTTGAAACCTCCCTTAAGGCCGTAAAAAAGCGGCATCGGGAAGCTCACCCGAAGCATATCTCCTTAAGCCTGCCTAATCCCTTGAAACTTCGCCCCAGAAATACGGAGTACCTAAGGAACGTCCCTCCGCCCATGAAATTACAATTTTTTTTTTTTAATGACAAATTTGAATATATCAGAAATTTCACGGGTGGAGGGACCTTCCTTGTAGCCTCTGCATTCACGTTGGAGAGTTTCAGAAGATTCGGTGCCCCCAGCTCGGAGAAAAGTGTCATAAAGAAGTCGCGTATTTGACGCCTTAAATTCCGAGGAAAGTACACTCAGTCAGTAATTCGAGGGCCGAGGTGCTTTCCGAGGCTGGGCCAAACTTAGGCTTAAATTAATTCCTTCGGCCTCGCTCGGGCCGACTACGGTCACCCGTGCGGCTCCGGTTTCACCTGAGGATTTCTGCGGTAAATTCCTACCGGCGGAAGTTCCGGCCGTTTCGATCGGCTCGCTCTTTACGGGCCTCGTTTAAACGCTCCCTTTGTCGCTCTCCGGCCCTCCGGTCGAGCCGCTCCGGAATTCCGGCCGGAATAATACGAGGAAACGATTTAATTACACCGGAGCGTCGATCAATCGACTCGGTCGATCCGCCCTCTCCGGGAAACCGCCCTCGCGCTTTCCAATTTTCCACTCCGCCCCGCTGCCTACTTAACCTAATAGCTATCGATTTTCCGAGCCTCTCTCCTCTCGAACAAGGTCAATAATGAAATTTTCCGCGGCTTAATTCGAAAACTTAGGGAAAACGCTTATATCCTATCCGAGCGTTGCACCGAGTGCTCTATTCTTTCCCGGAGCCGCATCAATCGCCACACCTCTCGCTCGTCACTATCGCCCCAGCTCAGGAAAATTAAAAAAAAAATCTAATCAACACGTCACAAATCTGATTAAAATATTCCTACTCATCATCAATTAACCCTTTTCACTCCCAATTATTGAGATGTGTCACCCCCGACAAAGGAGTGCAAAGGGTTATTAAATTTTCACTCCGAGACCTCGTATTCCCATCGTTTTGGCATAGAAGCGCATACAACACTTTTTTTGCCTTTATCCCGTTCAAATGCGAGTTTATCGATTACCAGAGTGTTCTAAATCGTCGTGAAATTGTCCCGACCCTTTCGATTCTCATATCAGAGCCTTCGATAATTGTACATTAATCGAAATATGAGAGCTTGACGCCATTTTGGTTCTGGTCTGAGCGAAGTTAGATAATTTTTTCCAAAAATCCAAATTTTTAACGTGTCAGGACAATTCTTAGATGATCAGGAGTGTCAAAGTTTCGACAGTTTGGTCTAATACCCTTAAAAAAAAAAGTGCTGTATTCAAATCGACTGATCCGAAGGGGGTTTCACATCACCTTAAAATGGCGATAAAATGCCGATTACCGGAGTCTGCTTGATATTTCATGTTAAAGAGTTTTCGGAAGGGAGTCATGGGTATTCAACTGGCGGCAATATTTTTTTTTTCCCTCCCGGTCCACTCGAGGCGGACAAGCGAGCTTTATGAATCCATGCTCCGGTGAGTCAGCGCCGAGTAACGTTCCATTAAGCATGGTTAACCCGGTACACCAAGTCGAGCACCAAGAAGAAAAAAGAAGAAAAAGAAACGACCGACCAGTTTTTCCCCCCAGCCTCCCACTTGGTACATCTCTCCGTTACTCCCAGCATTTCCCGCGTCCCATTGCACCGTCCTCGTCCCATCAACGAGGTTCCCTCTATTCTCCGTCCTTCCTGGCCGTCCTGCTCGAATTTCAAAACCCGAGTCCAGTTTTCAAAGGGAACTGCGCCCGATGCACCGCCATATGCACCACCGCAGGTGGCGGGCATGCGCTCTTGCACTGGCCTCGCGTTTAATAACCTCCCTCCATGCACTCGCATACGACGAGCACCGTTAACCATACGAGAGACCGTAAAAGAGACCGAGCGAGCACGCATGCGCGCCTCGACAATGCCGCGTGTTACGTCCATAAAGCTTATAGAAATTTATGAAATTATTCATTGACCCCTCCGATGCCACTTTCATGCCCCGTTAAGGTGAAGTGAAACCCCCTTCGAATCAGTCGATTCGAACACAACACTTTTTTAAGGGTATTAGACCAAACTGTCCGAAACTTTGACACGTCACTCCTGATCGTCTAAGAATTGCCCCGACACATTCAAAATTTGGATTTTTGGAAAAAAATGTTTAACTTGGTGATGTTGAAAGTTCATTATATATACACAAAACGTGGTAATCTTTATCGGCATAACATTATCACCTTAAAACACATTATCTCCTGAGCGAGTAACCCTCCGACACCGGCGCTTCTCTCTATCCAGGACTTTCCATGAGATTCAGCCTCGACTGACCTTTTCTCGTGGGATAGACGAGGCTGAGGTGTCCTTAACTGAAATACCAATGGGTTAGCGAGATGGGATATTTCATCGCGGCGAGCCGACGCGGCCTGTGGGACGCACCCCGGCCCACACCTAACCTGCATAGCGTCACGCGCACAGCTGGTGGACGCGGGGAAAACGCGGACACGCAACCATCAAAGGAAACGCACAGAATCCCGTTCCCCGTACCGTTTAATGGAACGAGGACACGGATAAAAATAAAAAAAAAAAATAGTCCGACTCCACCGGTGTTCATAATCAGGATGAGCCCTCCTGAGGAAATTTCAGCGCCGACCTTTGGACTAAGATTTCCGACCTAGGGGATTTTTCTTTCTTAATTTCATAATGTCACAAAGAAATGTAAAGGAAAGTTTGAATCGAATGTGATGCCAGGTGTTGGATTTAAAAAAAAAAATTTTTTTTTCTTTCCTCCTCGCTTAAGACATGTATGTCAATGCTTCCGACCCTTGGGTCGATTCCGAGCCGATCGGGGGAATTCGAGAGCTGGAGGCCTGCCAAAAGAATGCAGCAAATAAAGTGCACCTACCGAGTTACGACTTCCTACGGACAGGGGCGTCTCTTTTCGACTCGGCCCTGAATTCGTGCCAAGGGGCGTCGACGCGGGAAAACGCGCGTTCCCCAGCCACCTTACCCCTTTTCTACATCCCCTTTTCTACGGCGCCTCTCCCCCATGGAATAGGTCCAGGTGCCCCAGGTGAACCTCGCCGTGATTCCGGCTTTTCGCCA